CACGCTTGAGGTATTCGGCCAATCACAACGCACTGGATAGCTGGCCAATCAGAGCACACCTCGCTTTTCAGATCGATGAGCTTTGTAAAAATCGACGCGTTTTAGAAAGGCGGGGCATAGAGGAGAAACAATAATGTACAGTATGTGGAAAATAATGTGTTTTTTGAACCTTAAACCGCATTAACACATTTCATTACACCAAATACACAAAATAATGTTCTTTTTAGCAACACCATATGACCCCTTTAATAAATGCTGAAATTCACATTAACTAAGATTAATAAATGCTTTAAATTTTAATTTCAGCATTTATTAATACATTGTATTAAAAAAGTTGCATCTTTTAATATTATTTAATGGACCTAAAAAAAAAAAAACTTTTAAAGCATTTATTAATACATTATTAAATTCAAAAGTTGCATCTGTTAATATCATTTAACGGAGCTGAATGAACAGCCATATTTTTATTAAATAACATTAACAAAGATTGTAACAAATGTGATGCTTATTGTTAAAATTAGGCAACTAATGGGATCTTATTGAAAAGTCTTTTTGTGGTGCAATTAAAATCTAAACTAAACAGTCAATTATTTGAAACTAAAACAACACTGAAACCAAAATATAGATAATAAACAAATGGAAGCTGGTTAAATTTCAAAGCTATAATGACCCTGATTTACACAGAGTCGTGCTTTACCTGCGTGGATTTTCTTGAGCGTCTCGTAGGTGAAGAAGCTGAGTCCTGCATACGGCATGACGCCGAGGATGGTGGGAGTGAATCCTCTGTAGAGCGTCTGCAGCCCCTCCTCGCGAGAGATTCGCACGAACACGTGCAGGATGTTACTGTACCTGACCAGCAACGACATCACACAACGACATCACAGTGACATCACACAACGACATCACATCAAAACTCGCTTCATCTCGTTTGTCCAACTGTCCAAGGGGCTTCGAGATGTTTTAAATATGATGACAAAAGCATTACAATACGTCAAAACAACTAAAAATCGAAATGTTCTTTAATCACACAGTGACATCACACAACGACATCACACAGTGACATCACACAACGACATCACACAGTGACATCACACAACGACATCACACAGTGACATCACACAACGACATCACACAGTGACATCACACAACGACATCACACAGTGACATCACACAACGACATCACACAGTGACATCACACAGTGACATCACACAGTGACATCACATCAAAACTCGCTTCATCTCGTTTGTCCAACTGTCCAAGGGGCTTCGAGATGTTTTAAATATGATGACAAAAGCATTACAATACGTCAAAACAACTAAAAATCGAAATGTTCTTTAATTGTATATTGTAATAATGTTTTGTTGTTGAGAACAGGATTCTCGCAGTCTTGGAAAACCTGGATTTATTTTTTTAAATTGTGATTTCTAGAACTGGGGTAAGTCGTGGAAATTAATTAAATATTAAAACACCATGATCAATTTTATAAAGAGCATAAGTTTTTCTAGTTATGTCAAGCTCTAAAATATTTTATGAGGTAGAAATTGTGGGTTTTAAAAATCATTTTCAGTGTTATTTTAGTATCATTTATATACTATTATAGTATTTATTAATATTTTCATCTTTTAATATTTGAGCTTTTATTTTTACATTTTCAGTTTTTATTTTAATGTCAGTTTGTTTTGGTAATTTCATCATGTGCTTTTGTCATTTGTATTAGTTTTCATTTTATTGTTAACATTTTTATTTAGCTTTCATTTATTTTATTTCACTTTTAGTTTTAGTCATTTTAGTACTTAAACTTATTTCAAACTGATTGTCAAATTATAATTGTATACATTTTTTTATTAGTTTATTAAGTTTAAGTTTTTCATCTAATATTTATACTGTATGTTATTTCAGTTTTATTTCAGTTAATGTTTTCAGTTAAAATTAACAACATTGATCCTTATCCAGTAAATCACAAACATTTGAAAAGCCATTTACTGGTTAAAAAGTTTGGGATGCCTGAAGAACATTCAACTCTTAAAACTTCTAGAATTCTGAAGTTATATTTTTAATTTTAATTATTTTAAATAGACACTGCTAATTTCTGAAAATTAAAGGGGTCATCGGATGCGTCATGCACTTTTACAAGTTGTTTGAACTGAAATGTGTGTTGGCAGTGTGTACACACAACCACCCTATAATGATAAAAATCCACCCGGCGTTTTTTTAATCTCGTTAAATCATTTCCCCTTTCTCAAATCGAGCCGATCTCAGATGCCTGTCAGTGTGACGTCACACAGACAGGCCCCTCCCACGATAGTTTGATTGACAGTAGCGTTTCAGCACAGACCCGCCCTGAGTGAGCTGTCATCAGTCCGCCATTGTTTCACCGCCGGAGCAGATGTAGAGAAGAATGACTCGTGAGCGATTGAGGTGTTCTGTTGTTGGATGTATTAATGAACATAGCAGTCGTCATTTACTCTCGACATCTGAGCCGCTGAAGACGCAGTGGATTACTTTTGTTTTTGAAGGGAATGCGCCCCCGATCTACCTAAATGTTCACGCGAATCATTCGTGATCTAGCCTCACCTACAGAAGTGAGTATAAGGTTATTTTATGAATCTTTGCAAATCACCTTTCCTAATAACGTGCTAGTTAGCAAGTTCCGCGGCTAAAGTAAACAGTCTCATGAGGATGGCTCGTCACCCCACAGTAGAGAGGGGCGGGGTCAGCAGAGCTCATTAGCATTTAAAGGAACATGCAGTAAAACGGCTTGCTGTAAACAGAGCTGTTTTTGACAGGGTAAAAAGGGTGTTGTTTTACACTACCACGGAGTAATTTTAACCAAAGTACGTTGTAGACTTTTCATTAAGACCCTAAAGAATCATATCAACTTGTGAAAAATGGGCATCCGATGTCTCCTTTAACATAAATCAGTATAGTAAAACAAAATCCAAACGGTGTCATTAAAGCAGATGTAGCAGAGTAAACCTATCATCCAGTTTAGTCTGTGAGATGATGCAGGTCTTACATCTCTTTGGGTGTGACGGCCATGCGCGCTCGGACCATGTCCAGCGGATATGTGATCATGGCAGCCGTGGTTCCCGCCAGCGAACCGGCCAGCAGCCGCGGCACAGGCGGCAGAGCTCTGCAAAACAACATGATGTTTCATTTCTTATTTGTAAGCCGCTTTGGCTAAATTAAGAGTTCATTTGCAAAAACAGATAACTCCACTTTTGTTTATTTTCATAAATCAATCCAAGTAATATCAATCAAACTGCAGTTGGGTTGTTTTGATTAAGTAATAATAACTCAAACAAATACAGGTAACTTACAAAATTATAGCACTTGTCGGCTTCTGCAGTAAAACCTGAACTCACGATGCCTTGAAAGTGGACGATACTGTTTTTTTTTGACAAAATGTGTTTAGGGTTCAGATCGTGCTATATTTACATTTAGACATTTAGCAGATGCTTTTATCAAAAGCGACTTACAAATGAGGACAATAGAAGCAATCAAAATCAACAAAAGAGCAGTGATACACAAGTGCTATAACAAGTCTCAGTTAGCTTAACGCAGCACATGTAGCAAGTTTTTTTTAAATTATATAATAAATAAAAAGAAAACAGATAGAATAGAAAAAGAATAGAGCAAGCTAGTGTAAGAAGCCTTTTTTTTGCTTTTTGTTAATTGTATAATAAATAAAGAAAACAAATAGATAGAATACAAAAAGAACAGAGAAGCTAGTGTTAGTGTTTTTTTTTTAAGAAAACAAGCAGTTAGTAAAGAGCGCAAGTCTAAAAGGAGCAAGTTTTTTTTTATATATTTTTTTATAAAGAATAGAATTAGAATAGAGAGTGCTAGAGTTAGAGGGTCAAATAAAGATGGAAGAGATGTGTTTTTAGCCGATTCTTGAAGATGGAGGGAACAGATAATTTAATGAGGTCATATGATGTTGCTAAAAAAGAACATTATGTTGTGTATTTGGTGTAATGCAATGCGTTTATGCAGTTTAAGGTTCAAAAAACACATTATTTTCCACATACTGTACATTATTGTTTCTCCTCTATGCCCCGCCTTTCTGAAACGCGTCGATTTTTACAAAGCTCATCGGTCTGAAAAGCGAGGTGTGCTGTGATTGGCCAGCTATCCAGTGCGTTGCGTTGCATCGTGCCGCGTAAACATAAAACCATGTCTGCATTTGTGATCGGAGAAATGACAAACAACAAGCACTACTCTACACTGCCCAAAACTCACGTTTGAATCATCAGTGGCAAACTCTTTAAATATGAAAACGTACTTACAGTCCGTGAGTCAGAAAAGCTGGACTCTCCCAGGTTCAGGAAACAGTCCTCCACATTAAAAAGAAAATGCAAAGTGTAAAAAGAAAAAAAAAACTAAAAACAAATTAAAAAATATTACATGTAATATTAAAGCATTATGTGTTACAATATTACATTACAAATATTATATGTAATATAGTGGGACTCTATAGCACCATTTTAAGAAAACAGATCAAGGAAAAAATATTGGAGTCATTTGGAGTTAAGACCATCAGACGAGGGAAGGAACTTTCTTCCAACAGACATTTGATCCTAAGATCACCGAGGGAAAAATGAACCCATGACTGAACCCGGAAATTAGATCACGACGGCACGCATTTTCCACTGATAAAATGGTAAACAGCTTTAGGAGTTCTTCCTAGCATGCCATCTTGATCTCATCTGTGAGTAATGCACTGGTAATTTGGCTTCCTGTAGACTGGAAACACTGAGACGCTTCCCAAACACTGCTCTTCTGTTCTTCCTGCTGCATGAATGAAGGCCAGCCTAACCTCACAAACCGGTTTTTACATCTGCATTCTTTAACAACACAGCGATTGTCCACTGATACGGTGATAAGGTGCAACAGTCCTGTCATCATTTACTTGCCCTCAAGTCATACCCAGATGATCACAAATTATGTTTATGCTCCTAAATAAAGTTATACGGTTTTAAAATAACATAAGGATGAGTAAATAACGACAGGATTTTCTACAGTGCAATCTCATTGGCTGTAGGGCTGCACAATTAATCGAATTTCTAATCACGATTACAATTATGGATGCCACAATTACGTAATCGTTCAAAGCCCACTTATGTTATTCTGCGTGCTTAAGATGCGTTTTTTTCTTTCTACATGTTATCTTAAGGGTTTTTCCCATTATTTTAATTTTAGTATAACATTATAATACCATTCATATTTTTATTTTATTATCATTTAAAGAAGAAACTAATCCGATGTATAGTTGACATTTGAGGCTTAATACTATAGAAAAGCACTAAAGGTTTTTCAGCTTGTTTATTTTCATATAAAAATAAGGCATGCAGTTGCATCAAACAATGGTATAAACATCATTCAATGTAAATTGTGATCATCATAATTAATAATCGCAATTACAATTTCAAGGGAATAATCGACAGTTGTGATTTTTGGCATAATCTTGTAGCCCTAATTGGCTGTTCTCTGCTGTGGGCGGGTTCAGAAGGGAGTATTCTCACCTCTGATTGGCTGGAGGCGGGGCGTGGCAGCACTTCGCCCTTTGTCAGCGCCCCCTGGTGTTCTGCGTTCCCCATGCCGACCTGATCCATTCATACACACCAGCGCGACACGCAAACACACACACACACACACTCACAACCAAACCTGGAACGACAAGAGAGAAATATTAGAAAGCAACACCATATCATATAACACTGCCAAACACATCACAGAAAATCTGCAGACGTCTTCTAGATAAGAGACGGACCTCACAAAACATGTCAAGAACAAGTCTAGCTCTTATTTCACCCTAAAACGACATGAAAAAAAGGGAAAAAGTATATATATACACATATATATATTATTATTATTTTTTTTTTATTATTAAAATGTTTTTTATTATTATTTATAAATAAATAAATTTAAAAAAAAAATATATATATATATATATTTTTTTTTTTTTGCATGAAGAAAAAATCTAAGCTTTTTAAGATCATTGAGATTTTTTGTATTGTGGCATTATTTTAAAAACAATTTAACATCCTGCAAAACAATGAGAATTGTGTGTTTAATTCACATGCAAATAATGTAACGCACAATGCAAAAAGGTAATACTTCACATAAACCAGAAACTATATGCTTTTTTATTGAGGTAATGCTAAAGTATCATTTAATATTTAGAATTTTTTTATTTCTGTATTTTGCCATTTCATTTCTCAAAGATTTAGTAGTTTTGTTTGTCATTTTTTATTAATTTTCTTTTAATAAGTCTACACCGTTTTTATTAATTAAATTTCTGTTTTAGTTATTTTAGTATATCAAATTAAACTAAATATAGCTGAAATCAAATAAGATTTTTTTACATATGTTATATTATTTTACTTAACATTTATTTTGTTTCAAGTAACATTTTTAAATGGTTTTAGTTTTAATATTAGTTTTAGTTAACTATAATAAACCCGTTTACAATAGGGTCTTATTTGTTATCAACAATATATGTTTATGTATTTTATTAGTTAATAAATATACAACTGTTCATTGTTTATTCATGTTAGTTTACATAGATTAACTAATGTAAACAACAACAACTTTTAATTTTAAATGTATTATTAATCAATTAAATTAAATTAACTTAAGTAACTAATGCACTGTTCATTGTCAGTTCATGTTAACTAATCTAACTAATGTTAACAAATTAAATTTTATTGTAAAGTGTTACAAACGAAAAAAGCAAATCTTGTAAATAATCCTACAAAAAGTTTTTTCTTTTGATTTTGAAGTGGAATATTTCTGTTAGATTTACGTACGCTTCTCCTCCTGCATGTCTGGATGATTATTTGTCGTATTAATCATATTCACAGGATTTTCAGCACCATCAATGGCAAATACCGAATTAATCTAACAGCTGTGATAGAAAATGAAAATCACTCGTGCATAAAAATCCAATTGACTTGCAGAAGCAGGTCAGAGAAGCTGATCTGTGAATCCACGGCCGGATCAAATAACATCTGAAAGGGTCACACAGATGCACCTCTAATAATAGCACAAATGCTGAATTATTCAGGGTCCTGACGGCCTGAGATATGAACAACGCCTGAGCAACACTGCCCGATATAGCAACTTCATTTAGTTTTCTAAATATAATGCAAACATGATTTATTCTGCTGCTGGTCGTTAGCAGGACAGAATAAAAGAAGTGAGCAAAAATCCAGCGGACATTCACAATGACCTCAAGGGTTTCGGTTCGCAATGCCTGATCAGAAACGCTTGGTGTAGCTGATTTAACTTTGGATAATATACTCAATACTAGTGTTAAAACTAAAACTATTAATAATCATTTTTGGTAGTTGCAATGAATCTGAAAACTTCTTGACTTGCAACTAGAAATGTTGCCTTGGTGGCTAACTGAAATAAATACATTTAAGAACTAAAATTGCTAAAACTAAAACTGAAATAATAATAAATCGAATATACAATAAAAATGATGAAAACACTAAACGAACTATTCTAAATCTAAAAATAAAGTTAAAGGGATAGTTCTCCCATTTTTAACTTTTTACTATGGAAGTCAATGGCTACCGCCAACTGTTTGGTTACCAACATTCTTCAATATACTTCATTTGTGTTCAGCGGAAGAAAGAGCAGGAACTCATACAGGCTCGGAACAACATGAGGGTGAGGTAATGACAGACTTTTCATTTTTTGGTGAACTGTCCCTTTAAAATCTGAACTACTCAAACTGCCCTGAACTAGCGGGCCAGTCGAACCTGAGCTCTATTCTCAGCGGTGGAGGTGAACGAGGCTCAGTGGGTGAAAGGTCCTTCAGGCGGACACACATTCAGCGCATACGAACCCTTTAGACCCTCACAAGTCCTGCAGATGCACAAGCTTGAAACGCTGCATGGCATGCCACATGTGACGCACTCAGTCACTGTAACCCTGAGACTTTAGTGCTGTGAGATCCAGACCGACTTGCTAACCCTCGTTTAGTAATTCATGATTAGGCTTTTAACAGCTTTAAACCCCAGGTTAAGCAACATTTCACAAATTGGGATTTTCATGCATGAAACTGCATTTTAATCTTCAGGAAACTAATCTTGGTTTCAATGTTTCACAATGTTCATACACTGAAGAGAAAAACT